CTTTCGCAAGACCCAATCAGGTTTTAGAGGGTATGCGTAGAAGGGGTGGGAAGGGGAAGGCGAACATAAAACATATTTTGCGTCGACTTCTAGTAGGTTGGGGTGGGCAGAAATATTTAAAGACTGAGTGCCGATCCTAAAGTATTTTGCACAATTTTAACAGTCGCGCAGAGCAGTCTACTTCTTGATAAAATAAGTGGCAACAGTGAAAGGTAAAGCCAGTGTTTTAAAAATTAATTTGCTGTGAAAAAATAATTAATGGGATGTTAGTTGGAAAGATGAGAAAGAAAGCGTTTATGAGAACTCGAAGACATTTTTCTTTGGGATAGGCGCTTTCTTATAGAAACATACGCCCAAGGTTTATCCAAATAAAACTTTCTATTGATTGTGGACAGAGCAGAGGGGGGAGGGACATTATTCGTTTCTAAAATATTTCTGAGTAGCGATTTTGCGGAAGAAAATTATTCTTGCACATACCATTTTGCCAAATTAACCCAATTCAACCCAAAAATCATACACCCCCTTTGTAAACAGGATAGATTGATCGGTTAGGGTAATGAGACCCAGTTGGCAATCGTGAGGTGTATCTGGGTCCCAGTTACTCATACCACAGGCATGCCGTAAATCATATGTTTGGCAAAGCATATCATCTGGCCGATAGCGCGGGCTAAAACCAGAATTAATCTGTTGGTAATTGAAAGGATTTTCATCAAAGGAAAGTTTGGTGTTCGCTTAAGATAGGAACTATTTGAACTTAGTCCCAGGAAGAAAATATAACCATTATGTTGCTTCAAACAGAATCACACCTAATTATTTATGTTATATAAACACTTGTTCGTTAGCTTTCCTCCTACGCCCTCTCATGTTAGTAGGCTGAGAGAGCAGCTGAACACCGCTCTGGATAGCTTACGGTTTTTAAGTTACAAACTATAATTAAAGGCTCCTTCCTTTTGGCCAATATTCTTCCTGCCTGTATGGTACACTGAACGCTTCGCGGTACCGTTAATCATCCTCCTTGATACATAATAGAATCTAATAAAATCAACGTGTAAAACATTCGGTGAGGCACGTCACAGACAGTAAGAGATATTTCCCCAAGCAATTCTTACAAATTGATAAGTCGTACGCTATTTATTTCTGAATCTTTTTTCTAAACGCATAAGGCCAATTTTGAACTTTTTAAGAGGCTCTAATTGTTAT